AGGGTATCAGGGTTAATCAGTGGAAGTGAGGGAAATGTTGAAATTGAGGGAATTCTCTTTAATTTCCTCTCCCTGAGTTCTTGAAGAATAAGTCAAAGAGTTAAATATGTTATTTTTTTTAAATTTTGTACATGTTAATTGTATTTTTTACTGAATTAGGTGAGTTGCAATGTTCTTTTGTTATTTTCTAGGAGCAACTGGACATGCGTCTTCAACAGCGACAAGCGAGAGAGACGGGAATCTGCCCAGTTAGGAGAGAACTTTACTCACAGTGTTTTGGTGAGTTAAAATGATGATTAAAAATGAACCTTGGTAAATATAAAGATAAAGTAACAGCATCAAATTTGTTTTAAGGTGTTCAGCCATAAGATGTCAAACAATTCAGATAAAATTTTGACATTGTGCATGCATGTGTTACACGTAGGTGTTGATGGGTTATTAATGATAATTTATCCCTCAATGTATTTTAGATGAATTGATTCGTCAAGTGACAATTAATTGTGCTGAACGTGGTCTTCTGTTGCTCAGGTATAGTGTTCAAACTTGAAACAGGACTGACTTTGTATCTTAATAATTTGTGCTCTATTAGTCAGAAGCACATGGTCTTCTAAATGCAGGGGAAGACCAAAAGGATTATCTGCAAATTTATCATTATTTATGCTGTAGGAATGCTTAACATGAACTTGCTTTGACAAGCAATTAATAAACCATATAATTTGAATATATCAACAAAGTTGAAATGGTAAATTGGCCACTGTTACGATTTTAAAAGCTGACGTTTTGAGTGTTACCCCTTCATCGACGAAGGGCTAACGGTCGAAATGTCAGCTTTTATAATCGTAACGATGGCCAATTTACCATTTCAACTTTGTTGATTATATTGAAATTGTTTCGTTACCCCCACTGACGCAGCCCCAAACAGTTTCTTTAGAAACTATCAGCTTTTATTCAATTAATAAACCATGTCTACTTTGTTACCTGCAGAGTGCGTGATGAGATCAGAATGACTATTGCTGCCTACCAAACCCTGTATGAAAGCAGGTAAGTGCAATGACTGTGATCATCAAAGAAAAAGCAAATTTGATCTACATGCCTTATTTCTTTTTCATTGTCCAAGTGGCTCCTCAGATAAATTACCTCAAAAAGAAGATAAAAAGTTACACTGGCAACAAATAATAATACTTGGAATCTGTCATTTACTAGAAGGTAGTGAAGGCTGGTAAAAAAATTTTTTGTTTGCCCTCCCCAAAAATTTTTAACCCTCCCCCTCATGTGACCCCCATGAAAGGAATGGCCCTCTCCACAAATTTTTTGTGACCCTCTTCTTCCTTCTACCATTTGCATCAGTCCTTCCTGACTCTTAACTAAATCCTTGGTTGAAAACTTATCTTTATTACATGCAATTTTATGCAGTGTTGCATTTGGAATGAGGAAAGCATTACAAGCTGAACAAGGAAAGGCAGACATGGAAAGAAAGGTCAGATCACATAAGGAGAATATGAAATAGATCAGCAAAACTATTTGTGTGAAGATGTAACTGTACATGTAGTTTCCCTGTGGCATAAGAATAAATTTGTAGCTCTACAATTAAGTCAGCTGTCTCCTTATTGCAACTGTGCACTCGAAAGGACACTCAATAATGCTTTAGATCACCACAGTTCAGTTGCATAACAAGTCAGAACATTCAGTATAAGTACCAATGTGTGAATGAACTTTTGTTTTTTGATTATATTGTAATTTTGATGGTTACATGTAGATTCAAGAGCTTGAGGTAGACAAGCGAGATCTTGAGAGGCAGGTCAATGAACTGAAAGCCAAGTGCGAAGCTATTGAGAAGAGGGAAGCTGAAAGAAGGGCAGTAGAGGAGAACAAGCATGCTGAGGAAATTCAGTTTCTTAAGAGGACCAACCAACAACTCAAGGTACATACTTAATCAGCTGAAAGGCAGCTTGTCTCAGAGAAGCTTATTTAAAAAGCACTTTGCTGGCTTCATAAACTGACAAAAGTGCAGCCACCTAGTTTGACTTCAGGAGGGGTCATCAGAGGTACCCTGCAAGCAGAGTCTTTTTAACCATCTTTGGAGCGTTAAGAAGAAAAGAAGAAGAAAAGGCTCTGCTCGCAGGGTACATCAGAGAAGGAATACTTCTGAAAAATAAAACCTACCCACCCCCTCCTTCCTAAGAGATGCCAGAATGGCTTCTTCTTGTCTTAAGAACAAAAAATGGGCATTTTGCTTGTGGAATGTGTTTCTTCTCTGTAGACTAGCTGGAAGCCACAATGTAACACTTAATAAATGATTGTGTATAAGCTTATCACTGCTATTATAATAGACAAAGAGGAGGGAGGGGGGTAAATAATGATTATTTTCCTACTAAATTTCTTGCTGAAAATCCAGAATATTAAATTATTGAAATAATGGCTGTTCCTATTTCAGACCCAGCTTGAAGGGATCATTGCTCCAACCAAGAAGTAAACTTGTTTGAATGATCTGGGCAGTGTACATTTTGTAAACATTGGGCAGTTTTTTGAATGGTTATTTTTCCACAGGAAATAAGCAATTCCTTTGGATTAAAACTGAAAAGGAACCTTACTTGATAACAATATTCCAACATTTACTCATTACTTAAAAGATAAATTGTCATCTATTCAATTTTTTTTTTAGGTAAAATTGAATGCTTTTACCAATAGACCTCATGTTGCATGCCGAAGTGTTTTGGCAGCACTACATTTTTGTGGCCACACAATTCACAACTGCATAGTTGACATATTTTGAAAACATTGATGAAGTATTGAAGAGACCCTTGCAAAAGAAATAAAAGTTGAACTGACTCTTTGCCACATACAAACTTTGTTCCAGTTTTTAATTGATGTTCAACACACACACAACTTGTTTGAACATGTTAAATTAATGTAATAAATAATAGTAAATAAATTAAATAGACACTCTTTCTTACTATTATACAATTCAATTTTCTACCTCCAATTTGGTTTTCCACTCATTTTAATGACTTTCAAACAATTCTAATTTGCTAATTTGCAAAGAAAATATAAAACTTTACTGTGAAAAAAAAAAAGAAAAAACTTTCAAGTAAAGCCTACCATATAGTCTACAATGCTTCTAGCATTTTGTGTCCACTGAAGTTAAACAATTGGAAGATCTTAACATTTTTTGCAGACATTTAAATAATTTATCATAAACATCCATGCACAGAAGACACACCAAAAGAGTACTAATTAAGGTCAAATGTGTATGACCATGCCCTTACAATGGGCTGCAACTATACACAGAAAATTCACAATTGCAGGGCAAAGAAAAGAAAGCTTTATGATAATTTGAGGTCAACCTTTCTAATATAAACCCCAATAATTAATATGTTTCCAAAATTTTACTTACTTTCATGAAAAATGAATGCATATATTAAACAGATGTTGCATTCACATCATGTGCTTAACATAGAAGCTACAATTTGTCCAACACTTCTCATCTTTCTACACAGTACACAATGTGCATTACATTCTATCTATTAATCTGAGCAACTTCCAATCACCACTGAACAAACAGAACAGTTACTGGATGCGATTCTTCAACAGGAATCAAAGCCCTCAACTTGTACGTTAACTCTTCTAGCTGCACACACTATTGGCCATTCAGCTAACATCAATAGAATGTGTAAATCCTAAGTGGGAAAAGAAATCTCTTTTGATGCAAAATGCAACTGCAAATAACTGCAGCAATGTCTTGCATGTGGCAATGATTTCAACTTTGGATCATTGTAATTTCATCCATCTTCAGTCAGCATCTGGGAAAGAGAAAGAGAGAAGAGTTTGATCACTCAGTGAAACATGAATAATAACAAACAATGACTAGTATTTATAATGATCAACGCACTAAACATAATTATTCCAGTTACTGTATCTTGTAGAGTGTGATACCTACATGAAGGTAGATATGAGAGAGGTATTTTTAGTGGCGGCCAGACTGAAGTCATAATCACCTGACTCTCTCACCCTTTAATTTCCTTGGGTTGTCAAAATGTTTACCACAACAACTAACAGCATTCCTTTTCGGGGACTGCTACCATCTGGGAAATTTCATGCAACAGTCAACCATTCAAAGAATTTTGTGCAGGATTTTAAGTCTGTTTGTGGCTGCTAAATCATACAACACAATTGTTCCAGTCAGCTATTGATGGAGAAAGGCTACTGTACTTCTAACAGCCCCTATGGGTACTGGAACATTTAACAAATAGATTCCAAGTTGCCTGCACATCTGTCTCTATGATCTGTCTTCCAACAGATCATAAATAAGTGCCAATCAAAATGTGTGTGTAATTCAGCTTAGCGATATATTCAAGTTCCATGATCACAAAAAAATAAAAATCCTTGATCAGCCACCTAAAATGTTTTAAAATTTAAGGAATACCAAGGTCTAGAATCAAACAGCATGTAATAAAAATAACAAACTCACTGTGATATTTTGAGCTTTGCAGGGGGGTCACCCTTACAACCAGACACCTTCCATTTGTGGTATTCCTCCAGCTTTTTATTAGATGTATTTTTGTTATTGTTGGATGCTTGTGTGTTATTATTAGTTTGGTGAATAAATGAATCAGTTTTGCTTATGGGTTGAGTGCCTGTCTTGTGATGCACTCCAGAGTTGATGTCCACTCTCCTTCTGTCTGCAGGCATAGACTCTGTCCTCTGAATGGTTGTTGCCCCCCTGTGTGTGTTTTCATTAGAAGGCATATCACTTTCCTTTGAAAACCTCTGAAAAAAGTTTGACTCCCCAGGCAAAGGTGACAATTCCTCTCCTGCAACAAAGCATCATACTCGTGCATTTAATTTGTTTTAAATATCAAGCAAAAGAGCCAAATATCTAGAAGTTGGTAAGTTAAAAAAAAAAAAAAAATCAAGTTCAAGTTTCCCTTTGCTTAACAAAAACCAAAACCTTGAGCTATGCAGGATTTTTTAATCACCTCCTGTTGTGATCGAAAAATTAAAAGAAAAAAAATTTGGAGTCTATAAGTGCTTGCAATTTGCTGCAGGGTAAAATAAAAGGCCTGAAAAAGGCAAAAAAGAAGACTAGTTATGCTTATCCTGCAGGCAAAGGTAAAATTTCAGCTTGCTTAGTTAGTAGTGATATGAGTCATATCTGGACCTACCAGTTGATACATTGATAATACTATCAGGGGTGAAGGTCCACATGTCGTCTTTGTCACGTTTAGGATCACTACCACCACTGTCTTTCACATCACACACTTCAGAAAATCTGTCCCATTTGTTTCTGTTTAATGATAACCGCACTGCATCAGACTCATCAAAACTTTCCCAATCCTGCAGCTGAACATTGCTTGAAGACGACTGCCGTGTCACCCTGTCAAACTTCTCACATGGGTCTATGTTGTTAATATTGCTGAAGTTTGTCGCTCTCCGTAGACTACCAAGACCATATGATTCTTTATCTGTTAATGTAGGAACATCATAATCTGAAAGGCTAACATGTCCAGCAACAATTGCACCAAAGTCATCAAAGTAAGAAGTACCACGAGTGGTCAAATCACTCAAGTGTCGCCGAGGTTGCTTCCTGACACGTCGTACAGGCATATCATCCACAAATCCAGATTCAACCAAACCGTAATCCGAGTTCTCTAAAGGATCAGCGTAGCCAGATATGTCTCCGACAGCACCTAGTGACTGAAGGTCTGATTCTTGTTCTCTAGCTGAAGTGCAGTCAAGCTCCAAGGCAAGATGGTCCCTCTCTGCCTGCAGCGATGCTATTGTGGCATCAGAATCAACTAGCTGCCATTCCAAGTTTGAAATGTGTTTGTCCTTCTCCAATAACTTTAATTGTAGTGCATCCACCTGTCAATGAAAACCAAAATGAACAAGAATCACAAATCAGTTGATCAGTATGATGGTCCATCTGCCTGTCCATCCCCCCCACAATAGTCTTTTAGTCAGTTTGTCTATTAGCCAGACAGTCAGTCAATTAGTCTACAACTTAAGTCAGTCAATTCTTTTCTGGCTTGGTCAGTCCTGAAGTCAGTCAGTCAGTCAGTCAGTCAGTCAGTCAGTCAGTCAGTCAGTCAGTCAGTCAGTCAGTCAGTCAGTAAATCACTCTGTTTGGCTATCTATCTGGGAGTCTGTTGGTTAGTTTGTTGCTCAGCCTACCAACTTATCAGCCAGTAAGTTAACCAGTTGTTCAGTCAGCCAGCTAGTCATTTAGTCACTCAGAAATTCATTCATATTTCATTCATTCCGTCAGTCACTTGTTCAGTCAGCCAGTCAGTCACTCAACTGAGTTGATAATATAATTGGCCCCCATAAGGATCTCTCAAGCTGACATACAGAGCATTAGCCCTTCATCAGAGCAATCAAGTCCACCACTCATCGCAGTCAGTCAGTCACTCAACTGAGTTGATAATATAATTGGCCCCCATAAGGAGTCTCTGAAGCTGACATACAGAGCATTAGCCTTCGTCATAGCAACCAAGTCCACCACTCATCGCAATCAGTCAGTCACTCAACTGAGTTGATAATATAATTGGCCCCCATAAGGAGTCTCTGAAGCTGACATACAGAGCATTAGCCCTTTGTCATAGCAACCAAGTCCACCACTCATCGCAGTCAGTCAGTCAGTCACTCAACTTGAGTTGACAATATAATTGGCCCCCAAAGAAGTCCCTGAAGCTGACATACAGAGCATTAGCCCTTCATCAGAGCAACCAAGTCCACCACTCGTCGCAGTCAGTCACTCAACTGAGTTGATAATATAATTGGCCCCCATAAGGAGTCTCTGAAGCTGACATACAGAGCATTAGCCCTTCGTCATAGCAACCAAGTCCACCACTCATCGCAATCAGTCAGTCACTCAACTGAGTTGATAATATAATTGGCCCCCAAAGGAGTCCCTGAAGCTGACATACAGAGCATTGGCCCTTCATCAGAGCAACCAAGTCCACCACTCATCGCAATCAGTCAGTCACTCAACTGAGTTGATAATATAATTGGCCCCCAAAGGAGTCCCTGAAGCTGACATACAGAGCATTGGCCCTTCATCAGAGCAACCAAGTCCACCACTCATCGCAATCAGTCAGTCACTCAACTGAGTTGATAATATAATTGGCCCCCAAAGGAGTCTCTGAAGCTGACATACAGAGCATTGGCCCTTCATCAGAGCAACCAAGTCCACCACTCATCGCAACAGTCAGTGACTCAAGAGTTGATAAATATGTAAATTAGTTATCATGAAGCTGAAGTAACTAGCATTAGCCCTTCATCATAGCAACTAAGTCAGCCATTTATCCTCTCGGTCAGCCTGTTGGTCAGAGCAACTGAATCAGTCATTCATCTTGTTGGTCAGTCAGTTGGTCATTTCATCAGTGACTCAGTTATAATGCTTATTAATGTCTCAATTTGATGATTGTTTTGTCTTCATGATGAATGTAACATACCTTGGCATCTGCTTCCAACTTTTTTTGATACACTTGATCAGAATCAAAAATTTCCTTTAATAAGCCTGACGAATGACTCAAATCTGCGACAGATAAATATAAAAAAGTGAAATAAAAATCCTCTGAATGCCATAAAATCAAACAAAACACTCAAGTTGATTCTTTCAAGAATGTTTTGACTCTAGCTTCCCATTCGACGGTTCTAATGAGTGAGATTACTATAACTTCTAATTTAGCACTGCTTAAAATTTCATGATATGCAATGCTACTCATGAAATAATGTGATGATAAATCTGATATTCATTGATGAAGAAAAAAAAACATTTTTTTTACCTTTGTCAGTTGCATTCTGGGATGACAACAATTGTATATTTAATTTCCTTAGCTTGCTAATGTCTTCTTGCAGTTTTTCTTTGAAAAGTTGATTTTCTTTCTCTTTCTCAATTAACAACTGATCAACTGCGGCTTTGTCTGAGACTAGCTTTTCACAGTGCAACTGAAGTTGCTCAATTTGTGCCCGAAGACTGTCATAGGAGTCAAGAATCTCTTCTAATGCTTCTTCACCAAATAAGTCCAGCTCACGCGGAGTATCACGTTGTGACAACTCTTGAGCAGATGAATCCATGACTTTGCAGCAGAAAGTTCACACTTTTGTCAAAGCTGGACTGTTAAGCACATCTAAGAAACAAAAAGATGAATGAATGAAGTCAGTATTTTGTAAACAACCACTGGATCTAAAACAATGCAATGTAAGTTGTACAAAAAAAAAAAGAAAATTTAAGAAGTTTGTTCAAACGTGTTGGCACAGCCTCAAACACAAAAAGCTGTTGTGTGGACTTCCCACCTTTCCTTACCTCCTCTCAAGGGAGTAGATATCCAAATTAGTTCCCAGCCCTCTCCTCTTCCCACCAACCCCAGTGGGGTAAGGATGGACAAATAGGTTTATAGCTACTGGTATTTTCTGGAAAAACACTGTTTTTACAGTTTATAGGAATAAAAGGGCACTGTTAAAGTTGCCACTTTCAACCTGGTAGATAATTCTACAGTGAACTGCTCCAGTTATCTCTTGGCTTTTAAATCTAAAAAAATTCTTACAAATAAATAGATTTGCCATCTTATTTGTGTTCATCAGTCCGTTAGAACAACAAGTCACAATCACATGAATTGTGTGACTACGAACGGAAGAAAAAAAATAGGAATTCAACATCGATAGTCGTGTCAGACGCCTAAACTTTGGATATAAATACCCGTTTTGACGCCTAATCCATATCAAGTTTCATGTCGAACAAGTTGGTTTTGAGTGGCCAGAATGAAGTGAACTATGCTTTGATTTTTATCCGTAAATGTAGGTAACTTATCCAAAAATCCACATTTATTTTATTATGTCAGAAAAGGTAGGGCTGTTGAGAGAGTAGTCCAAGTTTATTTTACAAAACCAGAAACACGGCTCGAAATAAGTCAGCAAACCTCTGTTTCGCACGATACGAAATTTTGCATAATAAAGAATAGGTTTGGCGCCTCGTATTATAAATGTGGCAGGACGAGAAGGCAAAAGCATCACGTTCTCATGGCGAAAGTTATCGAAGGCGTGAAAAGCAAAATTTATTGAAGTACGTCAAAATTATAAACATGTCTTCGATTCATAATTCAATTATGTTATTCTGAGAATCCATCTGCAAAAACATCACAAATAAATACGGAAACGTCGAAAAAGGGCGCTGTTTCTTCAGATTATATCTCTATGATGCTATTTGCAACCTATTAACTTGTTATCACGACCAGCGTGAAGAAATCGAGGCGAATTACTCACAGAAATATATTATATTGAATTTGACAATGCGTTGACAATAATATTTACTTTTCGCTACGCTCGAGTGAAATCTTACCTTGAAAAACCAGCACAAATGAGAACACTTCATTCGTATCACCTGCTCTTCTCACGCTGCAAGAAACGCGGTGCTTTTTAACTTCAGAGCTGTATGAACCTGGAATGTCGATGTCGTTCCGAGTCACATGTTCAAATATACAACACGCTTTCTGGAGAACCGCGCGTGCGTACGTAGACCTGAAGTGTTTGTGTACAGTTCGATTATTCATTCTTCTCGTGCATTGTTCAAAAGTACAATTCTGTTCGACACTCAAAGACAATCACTATCGAAATCTTACCTACATCTGAGCAGAACCTAACAATCGATGAGTTTTAACAACAATTTGTCACAATCCGACCTTAATGAGAGGGTGGGTCTTCACTACTGTGCTGCAAGATTTTTCTTCTTTTCATCTCACGACAATTCCTGGCTCGTTAATCGGTCATAATTGCGCCGATACTGGCATCTCCTTGTTTTAAATTTGTCCATAATTGCATGATCACAGCCAACACTCGAAGGTAAGCAGATAAAAAGATTACGAAGTTTCAAGCATATCTTATCTGCAAGTGCGAAAGTCGAACAAAAGAAATCAAATAAAGTTTTGGCTGAATGCCCTATTACTTGTTCACTCAGTGGGAACACTCAAAAGAGGCCTGCATGTGCGAACACATCTTTTTGAAAATTTATTTCAAAAACTTCCTCGACGTATTTTGAGGTCAGTCTAGGCACAAAAAGGGGAAGAAATAAATACAAGATTTGTCGCATGGGAGGTCCAACCTGCAACTTAACCCCCTAAGGTGCGAACAACATCTTATGAATATTTATTTCCTCAAGATAAGCCGGAAACACTACGTTTGTATTGTACAGAAACACATGGGCCCACAAGGAGTGCAAATGATCTTTGTGAAAAGAAAATGCGCGTCACAGAGTAAAGCACGAACAGATTAAACGTAAGGAACGACTTACAGTAAATTCGGTTTTTTAATAGTGAGATCCAATAGCGAAATCATGGTAAACTTGACACGAAAAACCGACACAGGCCCCCTACAGTGCAGGGCGCTACAAGAGGCATGGGCTTTTAAATAAAAATTAAAAATTAAAAAAAAAAAAAAAAAATGAAAGAGACATCAACAACGGATTGTCCTTTGGGTTAATTCACTCAAAGACGTCATTTTGATACAAACCCGGCAAATATTCTAAAAACACAACATTATTATACAACATTTGGAAAAGACTAGTCTGAACGGAAGAGAAATGGATGTCCACAAACATAACGGCAACAGACACATCATTGATCTTTCTTGGCAGCTGACTCTTCTTCATCTATTCTCACAACACAATGTCGAGGAAACCAGCCTTTTTCTTTGCTCAGAGCTTCGTCTGTAATTTCTTTAAATAAAAATGAAATGAACAAACGATGCCTCACTTTCAACTCATTTAGTTTACCATGTTCAAATTCAATTACGAAGAAACTTCGGTTTCCAGGCCGAATTCTGTCGCCAGTCGAACAAAATAGTGCAACGGCGACAGGGGCTCTGTAAAATTTTTGGACACGCTGTGATTGGCTCAAAACACACTTGCAACCAAATGATTCCAAGATCATAAAAGAAAAACAAAACAAAACCAAAAAAACGCATTGGTAATACTCATTTTCCCACATTAGGCTGTTATGTAAATGATGTGTCTATTTTACTTTACACCCCTTTGGGTGTGGTTAAAGTACATTTAAAATTTTTCTCTCGTGGACTCACCAACAACTGATAACCTATGGGGAGACTTTTCACCATACAGCCACCACCTGACAAAAAAAAAAAATGAAAAAAAAATACAGTGTGAAATCACAGAAAACTGAAATAGTTTCAAAGTCCGACGAAGAGTTGTGATGAGACGCTACAAAGGAAAACAAGACACGAAAGCAGCAGAGTGCGAAAAACAGAATTGATGCAGATAGGTAAGGAAGGGCAAGACAATAAAACTGAGAATGGGACGGTCAGGCACAGAGATATGGGGAACGCGAACAGAAGAACGGAATTAAGAAAGAATACAGTAATGGAGAAATCGAGAGTTAAATTAAGAACAAGACACAGTCGAACAAGAAACAAACAAAAAGAAAGACAGGGAGCTATAGTACCAATGGAGTAGGAGGAAAGAAACGAACAAACGTATAGACATACAAAAACAAATCAACGACATACTTTCTCCAGCGTGTCACCAAAATAACATCTCCCGTTTCCACTTTAATTCGAGGTTCGTCTGTCCATGGAGTGGATATACATGTTCTTAAACCTTCTCGCCAGGCAATAACGCTTCCATTATAAGATTTTACTACACTGCAACAAATCTGAAAGAGGTAATATGTGGGTTAGAAATATCATGTAAGAACCTTCGACTTGTAGAGGGATAAAAATTTAATTTCCTAATAAATTAATTTCAATCATACATATATCTTATCAGACGTTTTGTTGCGTATTATCGCTGAGTATTTTTACGAGTTGTGCCGTATTTTGACTCGCCCTACGTGCTCGTTAAAATACAAACAACGAGTAAAAATACTCAGGGACATTACACAACAAAACGTCTAATAAGAGATTGATTATTCTGCACGCCAAATTGTTATTTCAGTGCAGATAATAAATGTATTTATCAATAATCCAACTGTGCTTCGTAGAGTACAAATAACGCACGAGACGAGTACAAATAACGCACGAGACGAGTACAAGTATCACGCGATATTTGTACTCCAGAAATATCCGCAAAATTCGCCAACACTGAAATAACAATTTGGCAAGTTGGATAATAAATAACTTATTAGACGTTTTGTTGTGTAGTATACACAGCAAAACAAATACTACATAACATTTTTACTCGTTATTTGTATTTTGACTTGCCCTCAAAATACGGCACAACTCGTAAAAATACTCAGCGACACCACACAACAAAATGTCTAATAAGATATATGTATTCATTTGATTTTTTAACTCACCGTTCTTTCTCTTTTCAATTTCTTCTGCTCCAACTGTTCCTTCTAAAATGGGAAGAAAAAAAAGTCGAAATAATGAATTACAAAAATCAAGCACACTTTGACAAATTGAGTCGGAGTGATTAGTTCTAACTATAAAGCAATAGTTACAGCCTGAGAGGGCCTGAAGGTCATTCTTAAAACCAGTTAGCACGAGGAAAAACACAGAGATCACAGTTCATTCCACTTACCGTCAAAGTAAACTGATCACATCCTTCAATGACAGGCCACATTATTCCATCGCCAACATAATCTTGCCATAATGTTATCACCTACAAGTATTTTAAAACAGACCATCAGGAAATTGCACAACAATAACTGTACTGCATGGAACGAAAAATTCCAAATTGTCACAATTAGAAATTTAAATCGCCTGATTCTCAGAGAGCCAGAAGTTGCTCTTTTCCACAACTTCCTCCTGTTGAAATTAACCTCATCAGACCATCTGAGAATCAGGTTAAACTTTAAGTTACTGTGCACCCACCCCCCCCAACCCAACCAAAGTCCACCGGTAACAAGTTAGGGTCAATGTTATGTGGGAGGGGGGGGTGGTGTGCAGTTGATACTGTCTTTTATCCAAAATGTTCACATTACTTGTTTAAAATTTTCTTTCCAGCCAAGATTGTATGGGTATCTAAAAAACTCGCCATTGGGCCGATGCCGGTCAGCCTGTCAAATGAAAGAGCAGTAATACTATATTAAGGTTGGCAGTGTTAAGTAATACCCAAATGAGCCATCATGTATTCCAATATATTGAGAGTATGCACATTCTGTATTCAAGGATACATAGGAAGACATGTAATTATATTTTTTGCAATAATAATGAATACAAAACAAACATGCTCAAAACCTTCTCTACAATCCACCCTTCAATCGCTGTCTTGTTTGTTAATATTCCTTTCATCTAA